GTAATTTATAATATTCCATGGTCTGCACTTCTAATCTTGCACCAACATGAAGTAGGTGGGTTTCAAGTGATAACTCCACTCACAAAATCAATGGTTTGAGTAACGCCTAAATTCCAATTCGATTTGTGAGTGGGGAACCTTTGGTGATATGATGCAGATCCGTACTTCATCCTACTGATACGAATCTGATGCTTATTGGTTTTGGATTCTTTTGCATTTTTTGGGTTGCATTTGGGATCAACATTCAAAAAGATGATGGAATAAAATATGATTTTCATTTTGACCCCACAAAGTCAATAGCGGAAGACAAAACAAAAAGAACCAGAACCCACAAAAAAAGAAACACTAAAGCTTAAGAATCATGAAGATCTGCTGACTGCTAATATCAAAAAAGAAAACAAAATAAGAAAAGTATGCAAATTTGCAGGACCTTACAGAAAGCATAGTACGTACTGCTCCCAAGAGCAAAAAATCTAAAGAAACTAAAGATAGAAACCTTTTAAGGAGCAATCTACAAGGGAAATGGAAGATTGAGAATTAGCAGAACAAGGTCCACTATTGCACAAAGTATTCTTGTTTATGGACTTGGAGAATAGAGAACTTGGGACAAGAAAACAAATAGAAGAAAACTTGCGTACCTCTCTAGTAGCACAGGTGTGGTTTTCCTCGTTTTTTTTCTTCTTCCCACGGCAAAAGCTCCAGCTTGTCCTGTTTTTAGGGGGTCATTAGGGCAGAGAATTAGGGGGAGAAAGGCGACAGAGATAATGAAAAAGATAGGAAGAAGAGGGAACGGGAATAAGATTTGGATTTTGGACAAAACCCACGAACTTAGTCAGGAATCGAGAAATGACAAATTTTGAGATAGCATTTCAATATTTCAATTCCCATACCAGTAAACCAAACATGAATTATGGGGTTTATTCCATAACCTCATTCCGATACCCTTTTACCAAACGACCCATAAATATATTGATGTGAGATATCATTGGTTATGTGACGTGTTGAATGAGAAGTTGATTGAACTTGAAAAGATACATGCGGATGACAATGGTACTGATATGATGACTAAGTCATTCCCAAGATGAAAGTTTGAAGTATGTTGCTCACTTGTCGGAATGGTAAGTTCCTCCACATAGTCGGGAAGGGGGAGATTTGTTGGGTTTTTGGGCTCTTAATTTATGTGGGAAAGTCCAAAATTAATGGGTAATTGTCTAGACTCATTAAGGAGTTGGCCTACCTATTTATAGGTCAAATTAGGTTTATTCTAGAAGCCAAAAAGTGGGAAAAACGCAGAAAAATTCTGAAGAGAAATTTCAGCAAGTTTCTGGTTTGAGCAATTGCGGTAAATTGCTCAATTGACTTAGCAAACAACATCTGATCGGCCTAAAATTTTAACTGAAGGTAGAGGACATCAAGTTCTATGTTCAGAGATTGGATTTCAACAGTTCAATCTTTAATTATAAATTTCGGACTGCTATTGTTTCCCGGTAAAGTTTTTCACAGCTTTTGTTCTTTATTTGGGATTTGGTCACTTTTTTGATTGTTTAAAGCCATATCTCAATTGTGTACTTGTTAAAAGTTATACTTTACTTTTAATTAGTAATAGTGGAGTAATTTGTGGTGGGTTCAAGAGTCTCGTGATTTTTTCTTTTTACATTGGAAAGGTTTTCCATGTAAAAATTCTTGTGTCTTCTTGTGGTTGTTTCTTTTGTATTTGTGGGTTAATTTATCTTCTGTTAGTTGCTGATTTTTTATTTTGCTTAACACTCCTAATCTGTTCTAACAAATTGGGGAGGTTTTTGCTGCGTATTGTGGTTATTTGAAACCCGGTACCTCCCAACGTAGTGGTATAAGAACTTCAGAATGCGAGATTGAGCTACTCATGGACAAGTAAATTTTTCTCAGAGTTAGACTAGTGAAAATTCTCTTCTTGATGATGGAATGAAGTGCCAAAGAGTTTGGTTGGTGTTAGACCAGGTGCGCCATGGATTTGACAGGGGATTCGGTTGTTCTCAGACCAAGGAGCCAAGAGTTGGAAGGGGCCCAGAATCTAGTTTGAATGTTGAAGAAGAGTGGGTCCATGATTGGAAGAAAAGGAGATTTTAGATGTTAAGGTGGACTTGCATTAAGTATTAAAGTAGGTTCGGAAAAGAGCCATTAAACTTGGGTTTAATGTGAATGGTTACTCATAAAGAGAGAGATTTGTTAGATTCATGAGTAAAGGATTATGTCATATATTCGTTCGAAAGATAGAGAAAAAGCAGTTAATATGTAAGTAAGGATTCGAAACCTAATAACTTAAGTTTTTCGGTAAGAGTTAAGTTCCTGATTTACATATTAGACTCTTTGGTGGGTTCTATCAAAATGTTTCTCCTTAACACAAGATAACCCCCACATGAGTAGAAGAAAGTCAAAAAAGCAACTGAATTCCAAACTTCTTTTTATATAGTATATGGATATACAATCGTCAAGTAGAAAATTGTTACCATTGATATGCTACCTATTATATTATCACTAGGGGTGGCACCCGCACTCGGTGCGAGAGTTGTAACCTGTGTAGGGAATGTAGTTTGTAAGTGAAAAATACAATCAATAGTGATGTAATTGTAACAATTGCTATTGCATACTTCGCCTACTCAATTAAGTCAATCTTGTAGAAAAATACAGATCATTTATAGACTACAGGTTCACAACCATATAGGTGATTATGCAATGAAAATTGTGGACTTATTCTTTCATAGCAAATCGATCATTATATAGATGAAAAGAAAGGAAGAAAGAAAGAAAGGAAACATTTATGGACCAAACTAACAAAAGACAAACTTTAACAAATAGACAACAAAGTAAGAATCTTCATTCTCCTATATGTATAGGAATTTAGCAGTTAGAATAATATTCTAGAAATATTTGTTGTTACAATTTGCAAGTTAGCATTTGCTGTTACATTTTACCATATTTAGAGAAGTGGAACTATGAGTCAGTTTCAAGGAAAGCTACAGTCACAGGAGACTGTTTGCAATCTAATCTTACAAGATTTGAGTAGTTTCATTGCTAGGTGGAAGAATGTTGTTGAGACTGAAAGCAATAGAGATCTTTGTGCTGAACTTGCTTTGCCAGGGATCCTTTTTTTTGCATAATAGATAAGGCTAATTCCCAAGTCCAAATTGCAGTAGTTAGAGGCAATTTGCCATGGTAATTAACACATAAAACAGAAAAACACACAAATGAGATGACAGTTAAAATAACAGCAATGCATGCACACCAAAATAATGAGTTAATTGGAACAATTATTTTTACATAGTACATCAAGGACAGAGGTGTTGCTGGAAAGTGCCTTGATGAGAAAGCTTCTGCAATATAGTTCTCTTGCTTCTAAATCTGCAAAACGTGAAAATTGCATAATAGAATGACAAATATAATTGGCCTTCTAAATTGAACAATGAATTCACTGGTTCATTTAGAAATTTGATATACAAACAGATAGTATGTACCTGAAAAAACATAGAGCAAAAAACCTTACCTGTTCAACAACCACCTTTTTAATATGAAGATTAAGCACCTTATGCAACTAGACTTTGTGTTAACGACCCATTATTGTAGGTTCTTGAAAAGAAACTACTCAACAAATGCTTCAGAAAATCAAGAGAATTTCCTTTTTAGTTCAGACATGACTTTCAATAGGTCCCTCATCTTCCATCCATTACTATTACATTAAAGAACCCATAATTGGTCATTCTAATCTCATCCAACTCTTTACAGCAACTCAATTGCTTTTGTGAATCTTCAGAAAAAAGAAAGCCTGTAGTTACACTTCCACTATCAAGCAGAGAATTAATCTTGTTGTAAATGCAGTCATGTTAGGCTAATCGTGTTTCAGTTACTCAATGTAATCCCTCCAACTCTTTGCACAAGCTCAATGACTTGCATAACCTTGATCGAAGGCACTTGCTGTCTCAACTGCATCACTAACGGTTATCTTGAAGAGAAAAGCTGAAACACCAACCCACTAAGGGTAAGATAGGCAATGTACGCATCAATCCGCATACCATGGTGGTATTGGAACCTTACTCAATTGTAAGCTTTTAATGCATTGACTAACTTGCCCCTCAAAATGTCAGATGAAAATCATCCAACAGTCAGACACCAACTCATTTTTTTATATACAGAGGATACATTTCACAGCTACTCACTTCTAGAATATGCCTTTCAATCTCTGCCCTGACATGTAATAGACCCTATGCTCCTACAAATAGGTTGCAATGTTAAGGTGAGTTAAGATTGATGAACCAAGTCAAGTGTTATAATCATATAAAATACTCAAGACTTGTACCCTTATATTAATTATAATGTAACTAACAATGGCTCAACCAAATGTTGCTCAGTAACTCAAGTAGACTCCACTATTGTAAAGTGGCTAAACACATGATAAATTAGATGGACCCTGCCATGTTTTCAAGTGAATTCTAAAGATTCATTCTTGAAAGATTTGGATGGGATGGAGATAAGAATTCAAAATCACAATATAATTGTTTGTGATAAGTCAATTGGAATCAAGACAATTCAAAAATCAATTTCAAGATGGTTTTGTTAACTTTTATATCTTGAGTAACAAAACTGATGCGCCATTAAGATTCTGTCACATAAACTTGTGATAGGTCTTAAGAAAATAACTACATATCTTATTGTTACTCTCTCTCTCTCTCTTTGGATTTTTGCGAATGAAACTAATACGAACTATGGGCATTGAACTAAATAAAAAGGAATACGGAAATAGTAAATAAAAGGTAAAAATTAAAAGGGCAGTAGCCTTGATACTAGTTTTTTTTGGTTGCCCAAAGAAAAACAAAATGATAAGAAATTCCACCATGGACGAAGGGCCTACTATTTTAATTCGAGGGGTGCAAAATAAAATTAACCACACTTTCAGGGGGTTTAAGTGTTTGCAGATTAAATGGTTAAGCCTCCTTAGCGCACCAAAAAACCCTAATAAATCACAAAAATAACTAAAAAGCAGAACAGAAGAAGAACATCCCTTTTATTATTCAATCTCTAAGTGTTGTAAAGAGAAAAGCCCTAGTTGTGCATTTCCGATATGACTATTTCCGCTTAAGGTTTGTTTTTTCTTTTGTTTTATTTTTCCAGTCAACCGAGGGCGCAAGTCTGGAGCTATAGGGAGGAAAACGATTGGGTTCTTAAGATTTTTTTTGGGGGGTTCTGAAGAGGTTGCAGAGGGCGTCGACGTCTGGGAAAGCATTTGGAACAAAGTTTTTTTTTTTTGTTGAAGTAAACTTTTTTATGCTTAATTGGTTTCAATGCATGTCAGTTTTTGTTCATTTGCGATTTTTTTAATGTAGGTTTATTATACGGAGAATGAGAATCAGAAGAAGAAATTTGACACGGATTTGAAGAAGGAAATCGAAAAAATATAAAGATACAGAGATCAAATTAAGATATGGATTCAATCCATTGAAATTCAGATAGAAAAAGGTGAATTTCTTGTCACTGTTGCCACTCTTTTGCTCCTTTCTTCTATTTCTTTTACTTATAATTTCAAAGCTGTAAATGCTCCAGGACAGAAATAAGTATGTGCTTGCAATTAGAATTGGTTCTGGAAAATCTGACCCTTATGATCTTGGGTTTTGCTGTCTAAAAATTTTAGGAAGTTGAACGAGTATTGGTTTTCTTTTTTTTTTTTTTTAATAAAATAATTTTGCTTATTTTGGTGTTGGGATTGTAGGAGAGGAGATGTGGTGTTGATTAACTTTATTGCGCTGTTTTTTAAATAAGTGCAACAAGTTGGTCCTTTGAAGTACTGTGTAATTTAATAGGACTCGTGAAACCAAGGACCTTTTATGGTGAAGAGTAATGGGTTGTAGCAATTTGGGGTTCTGTATACTGTATAGCATTAGTTTTGTATAAGAGCAGAAATTACACCATTAATTCATGCAGGGGGTGATATCTCACCTATTTAGGACTTGAATCTCTATAAACACTTTCTATGTTGATGCTATGTTTTTTTCAGGTAACTTTGACTTATTTGGATTTTTTCCTCCAGTTGTACCTATTTATGGTTTACTATGGGCAAATTTTAGGAAACATTTAACCATTTTGTTCTCTGTGTCTTTTGTAAGGCCTTGCCAACTCCCGTCCTTGCTGCTACTTTTTAATTGTCTGTGATTGTGATGGGGCAAAAACAAGGAGAATCCTCCTCCTCCTCAAATCTTATTACCAATGCTAATTCTAGAGCAAGTAGCCGGAGAACAAAAGCTGTTGATTGTCTTAAATGCCCTCATTGTGCTGGTCCTCTCTCTAAAGAGATGGTCTGTCCATTTCTTTAACGTACATTTCTTTTTTGTTGTTATAAGTGTTGCTAATTAGTGTATCTGATTTCTTTATTGATTCGTTGTTTTATGACTGGATGGCCAGGAGACTAGCCAATGGACTGTGCCACCACTCATCAGAGACAGTTTTTCTATGGTACAATTTTTCGATTGAGTGGTAATAGGTCTGTTTAAGGATTTCCTCTTTTTTTCAAATTTTTTTAGCATTTTTTTTGGTGATTTAGATTGGTTCTGCTGTTGGTGGCACGGCCAGTGCATTTTATGGGTTTAATTACGGTATGATTTTGACCATTTCTTTGGTTTTGTTTATTTACTCGTGTTTTTATTTCTGGTTCACTGTTGGTATTTTTTAGTATCACTTTATATTGCTTAAATTTAAGAATAGTAAAAGAATTATCACCAAGTACGATTGTTGTAAAATTTCTGATATTTGTGTTTGCTATATTATTTTGGATCATGAATGTTAGTTATAACTAATATAAATGTTGACTGTGATAATTTATTTTTTCTTGTATGCTTGTAAAAGTGGAGTAATTATGTATTAGCAGGAATAGCTTGGACAAGGTCCTTGCTAGATGATGCATTAGGATTTGCTTTTCATTGATATTTCTTTGAGTTATGGTACAATCACACCATCTAAGCGTTGTTATGTATCTGGAACTGCTTAGATAATCATATGGGGATGTGCTATACTGCTGCCTGATTCTTGGCTGATTGTTATACCATTTACCTTTCTAGTTTGTTTTGTGTAGTTTTTGTAGGCCGCCAGGTTTAATAGGCCGTTTTGACTTTATAGCCATGTGAATTAGTGTCGTGAACTTGTTGTATTTCTCATATGTATGCCTCTATATTTTCTCCAACTATTAATACCATATAGCCAACAATCTTTTTTTTTAAAATTATTTTTTGGGTTGTATAGGATGATTTATTTCTCTCTGAAATTGTGTTTTGTATTTAACATCTTAGCATTGTTCTCTCTCTCTCTCTCTCCCCCAGTAATGCCTATTGTTCAGAGGAGGATTAAAGGACCCATGTTGCTTCATTTTCTTGTTGGTGTAAGTCCTCTATCATTGATTTTTTTTTTCTCTTCCGTTCTGGCTAAGATCTTGCACTGTTATACTTTGTCCTCTGTTTGCAGAAGATTTTTTCAAATTAAGACATGCCTTTTGGACATGTGAACATTCATGAAAAAGTTTAGAATTTAGTTTGATATACAAAATTTTATTGGTGTATGGAAGACGTGCATTAGTGAGTTATTGAACAACTTAGGGGTGTAGTTTGGCAAGTGTATTTTACACCTCTAGCAAGAGTCTCTCCATGTTGTGAATCCACATAAAGAAAGTTTACATATAGAATAAGCTTCAAAAATTCTGCACGAGGTTCGTTCTACATGGCCATATTTTGTAGCTTTGATCTTCTGGTTTTATAGCATAGATGGTACTAGAGTAGACTGATAGTATGAGCTCAATCTAGTTTTAAAAGTTCCAGTTATTTTAGGTTGCAATGAATTATAATTATGTCAAAGGTATTTCAAAAGATAAAAGAGTAATACTGTTGTAGTTAGTTTGCATGTGCTTTCATGCATCTTTGTCCCTTTTAAAACAATGTTGAGGTTACTGGTTATTTGTTGGATCCTCCTTTTTTACCAATTCATAAGTTTTTCCTTGGATGCTTTCTTTTCAAGAGTGTTTCTCGTCCATCAAAAATTGCCTTTAATCTGTTTCGCTTTACTACGCTCTTCTCAGAACAGATTGCTATAGGATTTTAAAAACTTCAAATTTCTAATCTCAAGGTAGCCTACTCTCAAAAATCATACGTGGAACACGTCCGTGCCCAATTGTCTCTTTCAAGCCATTGTTATATTAAATGGTCTGTACTTATGTGACATCGACGAAGTAATGTGGACGATTGGTCTGTACTTATGTGACATCGACGAAGTAATGTGGACGATTTAATGAGAGATTGTTTAAGTATTCAAGTTACTGTGGTGAGATAATTGAATCTTGAATCATGATGTTCTCTTTTATGACAAGTAACAAGTCATGCTGTTTTGTTTCGGTTTGCAATTTGCTTGGCCTCACTTTATGTTTTCTCCCTTGTTGCCTGAGTTTCATCCTGTCGATGCTAAATTACAAGAGTTGATGCAGGTAAGGCATATCAGTTTATCCTCCTTGGATAAAATTCCTTATTTACAGATGATGCTTATCTTTCTATGTGCAAGAAAAAGAAGTATTTTGACCTTTCTTAACTAAACTGAATGTTAAGCGTGCATATACTGAAATTTACTCTGATTTTGGTGTTGCAAATTTGATGATGATGAGAAAATTCCATGTCAAATTGTATTGGAGCCATGTTATGAGGCACCCGCTCTATCTGATTCTTCAATGGACTTGATGACTTAAATTTGCTGCATTAAAAATAAAAGATATGTACTTTTTACATGCGCATTTCACAGTAGGATGCAAGAATCTTCTCCATAGTGAAGTAGAAAATGAATGTGCATGAAGCCTTATATGCAATTTGTTCTATGTTTGTGTCCACTTTAAATGCGTTTGTATGTCTAGCTCTGTTTTCTTGATTAAAGATTATTGCTCACATTTTCTTCTTTTTTCCTCCCTTTTATTCTCCTCTTTCTGCCTAAATAAGTTCTCTAACATATAGTTCCTATCCTTTTTTCAGGCCCCACCTGTTATTGTCTTCTCATCAGCCTGTGCTGGTTTGGCAGGTTAGCATTTATCTCCTGAGAGTTGTAAAATTATTTTTGGGTTTAAAATGGTACTTTAAAATAGAAAAGATTTACTGGAGCATTTTTCTTTTTGACCTCTGTATTACAAAGGTTATGTTAGTTTTTACAAAGTAAATACATTGCAAATTATACCTCTGATTTTAGGCTTTTGTGTATCTGTGTGTGTGGAGAATCAGACAAGAAGCTCGATAATGAAGTTTAATTCTTTTCCTTTGTTGGGTGTTCCAGTTGATCAATGAGATAATACTTCTTCAAAATTTGTTAATATGTTTATTCAATTAAATTGGAGTCCAAATCATGGAGGACTTAATATCTTTTAGTGGGAATTTCCACAATTGTTGTGAATCTTTAGATTGGTTTTTGTGTATCAAGAAGTTTATTCAGGTTGAAGTGGTTGTGTTTGACATCTATTCTCTAGGACTTAACAAAGAAACTCACCAACTTATAACCCTTTTCCACTCCACAAGTTTGCCAGTATGTCTGTGTTGCATTTTTGCTTTCAGTTTCATTACATATTTTCTTAAACTGGTCTGATTCTAGAGTTCAGACTGTTATGTGTGGCTTAGATGGTTGAATGGTTCTAAATTAACTTATGTAGTCCTTTAGATGATTTGTTGGTGCAAGGCCATAAAACACATGGGTAAGCTTATTGTCCTTGTTAGATATATGTCAGAGGCTAACACTTCAAACACTATAAGAGACATTAATTTTAACCATATAACCATAACCACAATAAGAACATGACATTCCTTGCTCTGGCAATATTTTTAACGAGGAAAACTCATGCATTCGTGACATTGGATATTGTGGCAAAATAAATGGAACATGCACTTTGTCATTTGACAAGTTACAATATTGTTGGATAACTTCTTGATCAGTGGACACTATACTAGTGATTTACACAGAAAAAGGCAGTACCATACCATGTTAAGTTCTGTTCATCCATTTATCTGTACCTCTCTTTGTAGGAGACAATGTGATAAAGGGTCTGAATCAAGATGCAACTTGTCCTATTCCATTATTGAACTTGCATCTCTCCACCTAATGTCGATGTGAATTTCAAGATTATTTTGTATACTTAGCTAAAGCAGTATAGATCTGGTAGGGCATTGGTGCCTGATAATTCAGTCAAAGAAGATAAATGGAGAGGTCAGTTGATGGCATGAAAGAGCTGTTGCACCTGATATGTCAGATTTTGTTGTTAATTCCAATATTTTGTTTTGAATTGTTTAGATTTTGCACATTTAATGGCAATGAAATTGACATAAACATCTATGTCTAATATCTAATGTGCTTTTGATCAAAGAAGAAGATCAGAAATCTGGAAGATTATAAGATCTTTTACTCATAGTGTTCAACTTATATGTTCTCATTGCAGGCAATAAATTGGTTTAGCAATGAATTCAGATGATCAAAAGTATTATCTCCGCAGCTATAAGTACTTAAGATTTTCTGTATTGAGAATTCAGCTTTTGTAAGGTGCACGATGAGAGTATTAGGGTTGAACTTATGCTAGTTACATGTAATGGGAGATACACTCACTTTAGTACTTTTGCAATCCCCAGCAATAAGTCCAAAATAGATAAATCAACAACTATAGGCATTCCTAACCTTAAGAACCGAGCATATTCCTAACCCTAAGAAAATAGATAAAAATTGCATGAAAGTAGTCATTCCTAACCTTAAGAACCGAGCATATTCTTAAGAATTAAACTATAGGCAAGTCATGGCTGCTTATGTATATTTTAGATATGATGTTTTTAGACTAGCTCAGCTGCACCATATGCAACTTCTTTAAAGTTTCCGGAAACACAGTACATGCATCCTGAGATCTTTCCTTTTCTGAAGTGCTTAACAACTGTTACCAAATTTCACAATGTAAAATACCCCCTTTGGTTGGGGTGACTTTCCTTTTTTCAAAGAGCTGTCGGTATCTCATGCACAGGTTGCTCTAGTTCTTGGAATTCATGCATGATCTATCACTTATGGTTTGAAGGCTATGAAGAAAAGAATTCAGCTGAGTCTCTTGTTAAGTAGTCGGCACTTGATAAATTTCTTAATGAGTGGATATCTTCTTTATATGTATTCATTTTATACATGTTGGAGCATAAGTTATAAACCCCACCCTCACCCCACCCACGACCTGGAGATAAGGAAAAAGAAAATAATTTTCTGATGATCTTATTGGGTGTTTATCTCTTAAAAGCTCATTCTGTACTAGTCCAGTAAAACAATTTTTTCTATATGCAGTGCTAAGACTACCACCGAGGAGTCCTTGGTCTAGTGGCTAAGGTTGAGGGCCTAAGAATTAGTTGTCTTGGGTTCAAATCCCCCTTCCCAGTTTCCCCTTCCTGCTGCTTAAATCTCACCGTTTACCCTGCTAAAAAAAAAATTTAAATAGCGCTAAAGACTACCAAGGCCTACAGGAGGGAAAGATGTCTTTATGGTTTAAATGTATTTCTGTTCTGACTTTCTTGTTTTGTTGGGATAATATAATTTATATAGTTTGAAGTTGAGTATCAATCTGCAATTTACTTTTTTTTTTTGTGGTTTTTTTTTTTAAAATTTATAGTTTAACATGGATATACCGTTTAGGTCCCTCTGTTGCAATAAGAAGAGAAAAGAGTATGGTTTTGTGGTACATTTGGTTCTTTAGGATCATAAAAATATTGTCCTTTTATTGCAGTGATTGATTGATTGTTGTTTTGAACCGACTGATTTGTTTCGGATGGGACTTTAAATGATACAGGTGGTGCTGTGCCAGCGCTTGCTCAGCTTGCTTCTTCATCTTATCATGCAGCGTTCTCTTCATCATCCTTGAGTCCTTCATCCTCACAGGATGAGAATATGAGCAAATCCAGGACTTCATCAACTCTGTGAAACTCTTAATCGGAAGGTGATATGATGATTACTTTGACATGAAAGGATTAAGCTTCACATTGCCGGAGTCATGCCACTCAAGAATGTGCACCTGATATGCATGTGCATGAGTTGTACTTGCCACTGAGTGAAGTGTGCTGCTGACAGCAATAATATGTTCAGGCGGACAGGAATTAGGAAGGGATATCTATGTGATGCATAAAAGTTCTCATCAATTACGTTCTTCTCCCTGTAGAAGGGTAGAGAGTTGTAGTCTGTCAAGCAGTTTGAAAGGTCTACCTCTCTAGTGAGCACCTAATCCATTACTACTGTGCGGATGTCCCTTAGAAAGAAAGCGCTTTCTTGGAAATTGCTGAGGTTATTTTGCAAGATCCTGTCATTATGTGTTATCTTGAGATGTCTTAATTGCATAAATGTTGTTAGCTTGCCTGGTGCATTCCTGTGTACTGCTTCGCATGGAATTATGATGTAAAGGCTTTCCTTTTCTGTTTGAAGTTATGCCTCCTAGGCATTTGTTGGTTCCAGAAGAAAGCAATCTATCTGTTTGGCAGAAGAAACCCATATTCAAACCTCGGACACAGAGCTTCTCCTTGTGTTATAAGTTGTAGGTAAATGCGTCTTTTCAGGGGTAGCCTAGTTTTGTGGTGTTGATGCAAAAATTTTAACCTCCTCAAACGTGTACTTCACAAGTATTTTCTTGCTGTTGTTTGTGTTGGATGTCAGATCTCATTGGTGGTATTTGACATAAAAACGCAAACTTCATTTGCAATGTGAAACTCAGCTTCAAGGAAAAAAGGGGAAAAAAAAAGAGAATAAATTAAACATAACAATACAAAAGATTTGCACGGCGAAATTGCAATGGATTATTGGCTCGTGTTTAGTTTTAGTGCAATGTGCACGAGTTTTATGCAAGTTCTACCGGCAACTAACAGAAGGAAACTTTATTGTCTTCCTATTGTAATTGTATTTTATAACATCTTGTATAGTGCCTAGTCTTCTCTTCATAGGCAAAATTTTTGAATGTAGTGGTTTTTATCCCACTTAATGTTACTTCAACTTCTTGAGGAAAGTGTATAATTCGTGTGCATCTCCTTCATTGTGTATAAGATTATCTTACAAGTACAAAAAGACACCACAATCATTCTGCAATAATGCGGAAACGTAATACTGCATTATAAACCACCAATGGTATCATGTACCAAATTTTTTGAGTCGTCAAATTTCATTTTAAGCCTAATTACCTAAGTTGTGCTCTATTTTGAGTCTTCAAATAAGTTGTGCTCCCCAACCCCCCCTCCCCCTCCTTCTCCCTCTCATTATTCGTATAGTTCTTTAAGCTACCTATCTGTGAAAATTTCAAAGCCAATATCGTTCAACATAGTCTTTAGCTACAATATAATGACACAAATAAATAATGATTAGAGTTATGAATAGTTACTTCATAAGAGGTTGACTTTAAAACTACTTTAAAATCTTGCACTAGATAATTTAAAATAATGGGCAAATGGATTAAATAGGTTGTTCACAGATTTCAACTAACGCATTCACTATAATGGATAACTGAAAATTTTAACGACATTGATAGGTTTACAATTCACATGTACATGCTAAAAATTGCCACCCTCCTTTGGGAGCAGGGGCATGTACATTTGCTGCCCAGCCGCCGCTGGATAAAAAGTACAGGAATCAAAGCAAATTTAATTGAACATAATCTGCAATCGATGATCATGAAAAAAGACGAGTTCCTAACGCCAAAGGCAATAGCGAATAGAATCAAAGTGAGAAGTTTGCCAAAGCCCCAATGGCATTGTCAGATGTGCCGAAAACAATGTCAGAGATAGGCAACGCTTCAATTTTCATTGCTTGAGCAAAACACAAGTGGGCTAGCCGGAGCTCTACTAGTGGCGCAGTTGTAGTTGATATTTATGCTGTGGATGTGAAGAATAAAGAAAGAGAATTGAAAGACAAAGAAAAAGTTTATCCAAACGTACTAGGATCGTGTCCCACAACAAAGATCGATCTCTCTCTCTTTTTTTTTTTTTTAATCCAAGAGAAGATTTCAAACCTTAAAAGGGAAAAGGGAAAAAAATAAAGTACTTGATAGTCAAATGAGGACCTCACAGCCGCTTAACTAATGTTCCTACTAGTTAAGCTAGATCTTGGAGATATTAAGCATCCACGATAAGAAAAATTAACCTAGCCCATTATGGTTCTAGTAGCAAACTTACCAAAACAAATATAGACAAAAGCCATTCACCTTGTGTACACGGTAAATTATTTAGCTAATTACTAAATCAACCTTTTCTGATGAGAGATCCTATAGAGCAATGATAACCAATCAAACCAAACTCAAAACTCAAAAGCTTAAACCCCCTCCAACAGTCCGAATCAACTGTTTTTCCCCCGTGATTGCACAGACAAAATACATGGCTCCTACAAGAAAAGAAAATAGGTAAATGTGTTGTATACGCGAACAGCGCAGAATGCCAGCTCAGTGAAAAATTTTAATTATGCTACTCCTAATTGTACACTTTGAAACAGACAGAGAACTGCAAAAATTTTAAACTGGTGTGGGACTCCAACCTCATCTGTGAGACAAGAACTTGGTCATGCTTCATCTCCACTACTCTCTATGATAACAGGTGTCTTCGTGGATTTCATTTTCTTAGAAGCTCTACTTATTTGACTCTCTAAAATGTTGTTAGATTGGTTATTGGATTCAAAATTTTCAATTTCTTCGAGAATCCGGACACCATATTTCTGTGTCTTTAGCTTTCCAATCACCTTCTCCAACTGCAATAAGCACAAAATCATTTCATCACTAGATCCTCATAGCAAAAGAGCAGATATAAGTTAGAACCATAAAGTTTGCAAAGAAATGAGATGTTAACTATGATGAAGCAACAAAACAATAAATTCTGAATCCCATAAGAGGCTTTATGTGAGGCTTGTCGATTTTCTTGACAGTGACTGGAGTAAATATGTAATGCACCTAGGCCACACCAAAAACCATTGGATATATCCATAGTCCATGCAAGAAAACCAACACCAGAGAACCTATTAGACTGTTTTGTTCTTACCTCGCTGATTTAGCTTGACAATGTTCTAACACACACGACTCTTGTGGTATGCCTTTCACCAACAGATGGACATAATTAAGCATTAGTATAGGACCCACTCACCTGTTCAACTGATTTTGGCTGCTGGACACTCAGCATGCTAATTTGTTGGGTAGACAACACAGAGTGGGGGAATATCCCCCCATTAATGGAAGCCAGTTCTTTTCGTAGCTTGTCAAGCTTGAACTCCAAATCGCCTGATTTAGTGCGTTTTGATTGTTTCAAAATGCTTGAGTTACCTTTCTGTCCACTGGAAACTTCAAGCTTAATAATTTTTTTCCCTGCCAGTGGCCCCAAAAGCATAATAATTAATAGCACAAAATGCAGGGAATGTTAGAACACCATGTCTTTCTTAACTGCAAATTAGATCACTACAGCAAACCCCTCTAGAAATTCAATAGGTACTAGCAATCTCCAGATTAAGCCCTGTGGGCCAGAAATAGAAGTGTTACACATCTTAATAATACAAGTCACCATAGTTATCTACCTCTGCAAAAGAAAGATGCTATGAATGTGATCTGCAAGAACCACGCTGAAAAAATTCCAGGTATATGACCACTATTAACAAAATGAAAAAGGAAGACGCACTTTTGAACATGCCACTACCTATAAATAAAATATAGGACCCATAAGATACATGTTTAAGCCCGCTAATAAAAGGTATCAATGATTTTTTCCAAGTGCAATTTTAGCTTGAAGTTAAGAAAGCTAAACTAAGTCGCCCATTTCACTCCCATTTACTCCCCACTTTCCCTTGTGCTTGTGTACCTCTTAACAAAGCTACCACTAGAAACTACTATTATTAATCGACCCTTCCTTCCTCCCCTTAACCCCCATATCGCTTTCTAAACACTTGGTCCCCTTAGTGACATTCATGTCATATTTTTCTGCAGCAATCCTATGGTCTGCTACTAGTGACTCGGCATGAAATACTCTGAGTGACTTGCACAACCTTAAATATTCATAGGCAGAAAAGCTTCTATATTGATTCAAAGCTTTTAAATACTAGATACTTAGAGAATGCAAAGAAGAACTTTCCACACAGGATGTGAAGAAAAAATTAGAAAAGCCTTCCTTTTGCCCTGTCTCACTCCATAATGATTAGCCATTATAACTAGAACATTAAAGTAATAGAATTTAAAATTTTGAAGCTCCAAAAATTCCATAAATTTAAAAAATCAAGCACCTTACCATGTAACACATACTTTGACAAGGGTCCAATAGTGACATAAGCATTTGTAGCATAAGCAGTATGCTGGAATTCCTCTTTCTGAAATAAATGGGATAAGCACAAATATGAAACAATAAACCTCAAGAAAATGATGGGCAACCAGGAAAAGGAATATAATAAGGCAATAAACTTCATTTAATTGTTTATTGCTGAAAACAAGAAGTAAAATTTTTGTGGCTGTGCTTGAGAGAGAGAGAGAGAGAGAGGAACTTATAAAAAACTCATAGCCAGTTTCAAACCCAATTACTTTTAGGTTTATCAGATCAAAACAACATGAAATATGCACTCTAGCATGACAGAAAAATAAAAAATAAATAACTGGCAACCAGAACTACAAAATGACAAGAGAACATAGAAAATTCACTATTCAATTTATGGAAATTGACAATGATCTAATATTGGCCATTCAGATTACTGCTAAATTGCTTTATTCTATTGTCATGGAGTATATGGAAGGATATACAAGAAAAAAATTTGCATGTTATATTAGGTCCAGATATCACTTAGGAGGCCACTCAATCAAAGGCATCTTGCTGTTTAATTTGGAAATCTGCTAATCTAAGGCATCTTAAACTACATTTTAACAATCCTTTTCCAAAATTTTTTGTATCCTTAATCAAATGTTTTTAATTGTTGAAATAACCGTTTCTATAGTAAATCTTTGAATTTTTGTAACTTTGAAAGGACGTCGTGTTCTGTACTTCAGTTCTGCTTCCAATGGATTTCCTAAAAGTTAAAGTCTCAACAAATCTGGAGATATAACAGACTCTTTTATCCATATCAGTTCCATTAAATATCAGAGAGAGAGAGAGAGAGAGAGAGAGAGAGAGAGAGAGAGATTTATGTACTGCTCAGTTGTGCGTTCTTGTTACCATGAACTTATCAGAAAAGGCAATTGATTTTGCTTCATGTATTCTTACATTCCCCACAAAAATCCTATGCATCCCAAAGTGTAACTTCTAAAAGAAAATATTCTTCTCAAGAGGCTTATTGTGAGACTTCTAAAAGAGAACGAATAACAGAAAAAAGGAAAAAAAAAAAAGAAAAGAAAAGACCTATTATTCAGCATGTTCACACATACTTCCTTTCACAGCTAAATCAAGAAGTGCCTAGCAGCAAGAATAACATTTCTCCGATTTATTCACTTCATATTTTTCAAGAAACATCTTTGCAACCAGGGTTAGTGATGTAAAAAAAAATTGCTCTCAAAAGTCAAAACACATCTCATACTTTTATATAGTTTTATACTTTTTGAAGATTGAGAGAGTAGCTTTCTAAAATTAAGTTTGTTTTATCAGAAAAAATTACCAAACAGAAGACAGAACCTCCTTGAAACTGATCCCTTCTTGAAGTGGTCGAGTTCTAGTCTAGGCATAGTGTTTCAGGTAAATATCTTATAGCCATGAGGATGCCATCATGCATTTCACCCTTCCAAGATTTCTTTTTTCTTTTCGACCACAACTGATAAGAGTGCCAAACACCGACTTAAATATAGCTGGATCAAAACTAGAGTTTCATTCGAATATTAACCCACATCCTACAAGGGTAACCAAGTTAATTGTAGTTCTTCTATAGAAGACTTCTGAGGGTAACCAAAGTTGGACCTAAGTTCTCTCCTGTCCTCTCCACTCTTCTCTTCCACTTCTCTTCTTCCCTATTTTTGCATTCTTATCCAACCAGTATGATACCAATACCAATACTTCTCAATTCTATTCCATGCTCACTTATTAGAGATCAAAGAGATATATTCTGCATATAAATATTCATTGACTACTGTTTTGTTGCTGAAACCTACAAGATCCTAATGATTTTCAGTTTTTTGACAGATATAATCAACAGTTAGCAACTACTATGTGACTTGTTTAGCAGGTTGAAAGAAAGGATCATAAGAAGCACAATTAAAAGAAGAAAAAAGACACGATTTCATACCAAAACGCGTTCCAGTATAAGCTGAATGACAAGTTGCTCCAATTCATCTCTCTTTAGCTCAGGATCTGTGCAAAAAAAACCATGAAGATTTTATTTTTCATCCCCAATGTTTGGACATTATTGAAAGAAAGTAAGAGAAACTAAGAAGATAACAAATATTTAGTGCTCCACTAATAATGACACAACTGAGAAAGGAAACAAAAGTCATTTAACGTAAAAAAAAAAAAAAAGGAAATAACCAAAGCAACATTGAATTCAATGAAAGTCACCCATCTATAGCAATCCAAATAGATCACTTAGTTTAATATCCAAAGATTATGCTAAATTTGTCATTCCCTTGTATTGTATATATCCCCCAAAAAGGTTATATATCTATCAACAAATCATTGAGAACAGACCCTCCTTTTTGCATTATAATCATATAATTTTGCCCCCATTGCAGAACAGGCTGATAAAAGGCAGACAACACCTCTAAGATTTCAAGCAATGACAGAATTTCATGTGTCACGTTGGAGAATTATGAGAAAATGTTAATCTGTTAATCCTGTGAGAAAAGAAAAAGAACTGAAAATAACATATAAATCTGATACATACTATATACAAAGCCTATGGGAAAAGGAAAATTAAAGGAGAAGTCTGTGCGAAACAGTTTTGGATCAAAGTTAAAGCTTATGACATTGTCATCCCAAAACAACCAAAAAAAAAGGGTTAAAGAAAATGATGAGAAAAAGAGAGAAGTTCAAGTCATCAAACCTTAAACATGGGTAACTAGATGATTTATATCCACATCAGTTCAGCTACATAAGTAACCAGGATACAATATGTAGAGTGGAGAGTTCAATTAGTATAAAAGGTAATTCAGGACAAAAGACAAACCTACTCCTTTCTGCTTAACCTTCAGTTTGTCCGCCAGTTGCAGCATCGTAACTCTTTGATCATTCTCTTGTAAATCTTGCAGTAGTGATACTATCATTTTTGCATAAGCTGCAGATATAACCGTGTTAAGCATAAATTACATATATATAAACCAAGTTATCAAGGAAAAAGAGAGAACCAAAAAAAAAAAAAAGTAAAAACCCATTTGTCAAAAGGAACTCTTAACAGGTCTCTAACTTCTCTCCCCCTTCCCATCTGATATCATTCCTTCCTACCCTAGAATGCTGTGTAAATTTTAGGCAAAGTAGATCATTTCCATTTTGTGAAAATGCTTTGAACTGTTTGTTACTACATAGTAATACAAACAAGTATACCAGATACATCCAATTCCTTCACATCACTTGCAAAAGCACAGTTGTCACACATCCCTGACAAAAATACAATTTCAGCATGTAAGTGCTCACATTAAAAGGCAGAGTAAAAACTTAACCTCTTAATGGCATGAGCACCAGCAAATTTACCATTACAATCTCGTAGAGGCTCGGCAAAATGTCGGAAAAAAGCACCTCGGCGGCATTCTCTTTTCGACTGCAATTGGAAGAAATACACCCAAGTTTTATTGGATAGCACAATCAGCTCAGGATCTACAATTCCCTCAAGTTGGTAACCAAATAAATAGTAATAGAATATCCAACTACCAAGTTATCAACCACGACCAAGTATACCACAGTCAAAAGAAAGCTTTTAGACTTCACTTTAATATCCAAAACTTAGACTGAAGAAAGTTTATAGCCCCAGTGTTTATAGCCAGTTTATAGCCAATTGCATCTCTTCTAGAAAATCATCCATCAACATCCTATAACATGACTGGAGAACATTCTATTAGTATGAACTACAAAGAGAAAAGTTGTACCAAACCACCACCATGGAAGTTCCTAGATACATTCTTCATGATGCCAGTCAGCTCACTGCCTAGGGGCAAAGATAAGATACTAAACAAGTCTATCAGATGCACTTTCAAAGTTTGATTGCTGAGCTTGGAATCCTTTGATTGCCCCAAAAATAGGCTAGCTATTCATCTGTATGATGTTACATCGCAACTTAACCTGTAGCTAGCAATGAGCTATGAAAACTTTCAGTCAGGAGAGGTAGGCCAAATAACTTATAGAATACATTTTAATAACTTAGAATACATCTTTCAACATTTAGGTATAGAAGATCCCATATTCCAGCACGACCTCTGAGGTTGTCAAATAAGGGCATCCTCAAATATTCTTCTATTTTTGGACTAGCTTAGACTACACATAATAAAAGAGGCCTCATACTATTTCATACAAACTGCAATAACTGACTATTTCCTGTCATAATTCTTGCAAAAGGACCAAAGAGTTTTGTGTTCGATACAAGTTTTAGGTATTCAAGTACTCATAAGGCACAGGAATATGCTCAGGTAATAAAGTAGAAATAGCTTTTTCATCACAAATAAGCAAATTAGGAATAAAAACAGTATATAGGAAAATTCCTGTCCAAAGGCCTTATAAAGGTACTTCACAGACCATAAAACTGACATACAGCTCAAAAGAAAATGCTTGCTGATGTTGTCAATATTCACCAGGGCAGCAAAATCCACCAGGACACCACTTCGCATGTATGAACCAAAAATTTTTCCAGGCTATCAGAATCAAGATTACATACAAGTTGACCTTAACGGTGAACAAAGAAATACCAAAAACAATTTAACCCGTTCATAGTACAGTCAACTAAGGAGGATCCATTGTAAGTGTATAAATTGTCTTACAAGTTATATATAAATTATAGTCTTCAAATACAGAATTCAAGTTGCTCAAAAAAGTCCTTTTTGGAGGCAAGGTAAAAGAATAAGAGATGCAGAGTTTAGGAAGAGGGAGACAGAGACGAAGAAATGAACCTCTTGTAGATATTGGTAGGAGTTTTTTTTGAGGGAACAAAAGATAAGGATGAAGGCATTGGGCCTTTTTGACCGTATTAATGATTATTATCTAGTGCCCCTCACCACATTTATTTGTTGAAAGGTCAAAAATTATATAAAATGAAATCCAACAGTCAAAAAGGCAAACAGAAATGTATGTAAAAAAACCCAACAAACTGAAAAGCACGCTTTCTGCTTTTGCACTTTTACTGCACTTCATTTTGCTCACACACTTCAGACATAAAAAACCTGCGGCCATGTGCTTATCTTGCTGCGCACTTAAGAGAGCACTTTGCTCACTTTTAAATACCATGATTGGACTAATTATTTGTTTAAGTTTGCATACCTTCAAAAGAGGAAATGGAGGGAAAGGAGACCCATTTTGAATGAAATTACTTTTACTACATACACTATTTTAAGATCATTTCTTTTCCTTTCCTTTCATCTCCCTCTCAAAGCAATATATAATTCTTTCCTTTATTTTCCTTCTATTTCTAATCCAGAATGACAAGGATGGAAACCACTTTGCTCTAATGTCCTTTCCCTTCCTTCAATCCAAATGGTGCATAAGGGGAGTCATCAGCAATTCTATAGTGAAACTCAAAGTTGATCTCTGTAATTCACCATTCAGTAAGGAACGTTGCAGCTTTTCTGAGATTGGAAAGAAAAGTAAGGAGAAAAGAGACATTAAATGTTTTGAGTTTTCGTTTGATATTTGAGAAGAGAATGGATAAGATAAGCTTTGAAAATATAGTTTCATTTCCATCCAATTGAGCAGAGATGGAGGGAAAAGTAGACCACTTTTAACGAAGTTATACTCATTACCCAACATACCATGAAAATTGAACAGATACTTAAAACCTGTTTCATTTCCTTACAATCCATCCCTGACTAAACAATATGTCTACTCTTACATTTCCTCTACTTCCATATTTATCCAAACAATATAAATGAATACTACCCACTTCTACACCTTTTTGATCAGCATATTTGCCTTTTCTTTCCTTTCCTTCAATCCAAACAGTGCCAAAAAAAGTTCTATAGATTCAGCCTTGGAAATCTTCATGCTCAAAAAGTGATAGAGATTTCAAGCTGTTACACTTGCCTACAACTTTGATTTCTCACTGAATACATACCTCATGGTTGAGGATATCTGCTCTTAGTTTCACACTGCTATAAATCACTTAATATTCAACTCGAGGAATTTGATCTCTCTCAAATATCCTCTCACCAATGATCACATAAAGTAGAACGGTTTCTGCTGTCAAACAGTCGAAAAATCTTCAAAAGCCAAGAAAAAATGCTCATTAGAATCCTCAACACCCTTGTTCTACATAGACATATTAAAGTTCGAAAGGAACTTGGTCAATATTTGGTGCTCTTATATGGTTCTAGATTTTATGCCATGGCACAGAGCAATGTATTGTATTGTTGGTAAAATCTATGATCTCGAATGAAAAGTCCATGCAAGTCCCAAGGCACCTATCTTGACGCTTTTAAGACAATTAGGTAGTGTTTTATCTATTGGTCCCTACTCAGTGACTCAGTTTGCCGCCAGGCTAAGGTCTCATCAAGTTATGATGGGCTCTCAGTTTTTCTTTTTGTGCTTTTCATTCTTCATCATTTCGATAGGAAAGCCATCGTTTTATACTCAAACTAAACAACTGTATGTATACATCTACAAAGATTTAGCAGCAGAACAATGAACCAGTCAATGCAAAGTCAAGGAGCTTAAATGGGGTACTGTGGTTTGAGATGAATTAAGTTTAAGTCATGGTACTTGAACAGGACTATGTCCATTATGTTCAAGACATCAAAACAAGTAAATATCCGATATAGCAAGCTTGCTCCTTAAAAGGACTATAAAATTTTGTCTTTTTTAAAACATGACAAATAACAAAAGACCAAAAACAATCAATGGATGTTCAAGAAGTTATAGATACATTTTATAATTACAAACAATTTCAATTAGTGTATCATCCAAGAAAACTGGGGTTTTCTTGTAAATGAGAGTAATTACCAGACAGTATCGCACTATGTCGTAGAGATTTTGCAATCCAGCATTCTCATAGAAGACCATTGAGCTCTGGCAAACAGCAGCAAAGAGTTATATGGCACTATGAACATTAAACTTATTGATTATTAATTTTAAATTATTCCATTACCTGCCTAGGAACATCACCAGGTCTAAAGTACAGAACACATTCTGAAGGAAGGCCATCTCTTCCAGCCCGCCCGCTTTCCTGCAGTAAGAGAAGTTAGATGAAATGAAGTAGAATAAAATGAAGGTTCCAGGAAGGAGCAAAACCTGATAGTATGTCTCCATTGATTTGCTTAAACTGTGATGAATGACAAACCTGACTACAAACAAGTCAACTGTATCAACATGACTAACCAGAAACAATTTGAAGTGACTAACCATAAAATGCACTGAAAATGACACAAATAAACCCTTGACTAGATTTGTGAACCCACTTGTCAGATTTAGGAATCATTGGAAAATTGAGCAACGATGCCAAAGGTCACAAATTTTTATTATTCTTATAAACTGTAAAATAAAATTCTTTTGGATGTTCATGATGCCTTTAACATGGCCAAAACAGTTAGAAAATGGTAGCTCTAGGACTGGTAGGCATGACGCAGTCCAAATTTTCCAGTGAGATAGTTTTTAAGTTGCTTCTTAACAATTTATCTAAAGGCAATCCAGGTTTGGCTGGTCAATTATTCACTCCAAAGAGGTGAATTTCTTAAAATAATCCCCAAAAATAGAATTGTCTCAAAAGTGGGGGTATTTGGCAAGGGTTTCTAATATTAATGTCGCCGAAATAAACCTACACAGCGACTAGGGCTGCAAACGAACCGAGCCGAGTCGAGCTTTAGCCTTATCGAGTCGAGCCTTGACTTAATTTCATCGAACTCGAACTCGAGCTCGAGCTCGACGAGCTGGTAATTTTCAAGCTCGAGCTCGAAAAAAATAAAAAATAATTATTTTATTTTTTAAAAAATAAATAAAATAATATTTTTTCTTAATAAATAAAATATTAAGGACATTTATGTAATTTTACTATTAAAAATAAAAATTTTTAAAAAATAAATATATATATACTCGAGCTTGTGAGTCGGCTCGCGAGCTAACGAGCTTAATGTTTTGAGCTCGAGCTCGACTCTGGCTCGACCAGCTCGAGCTCGACTCAAGCTTGAATCGAGCCGCTCGCGAGCGGCTCGATTCGTTTACACCCCTAACAGCGACCTTTTTTTTTGGATTTTTTTCCAAGTGTCAAACTTGCACTTTTTTTTAAAAAAAAAACAATGTGTCTGTTGCCACATAAGGGTGTGCAGTAACAGATATATCTTTTTTTAAACAGATTGTCTCAGTCATTGCATTATATATTTTTTAAATCAAGTACGACCTTCTAGCCATTGATGAATTCTTCATCAACAGCTACATTGTCGATACAATCAAGGCTGCCGTTGGATGCGCCAAAAAATTCTGTAAATAGCCCTCACTTTGGACGATCACACCCGTACCATCCCCATTTCTTGGGTACCACTCTCTCCCTATACTCCCTCCCTCGGCTATCCCTCAGCCAAATAGAGGATGTCTAAGACAATGTAGGGAGAGAGTGGTAACCTAGAAATGGGGATGGTACGGGTGTGATCGTCCAAAGTGAGAGCTATTTATAGAATTCTTTGACACATCCCACGGCCATAAAGCCGTTGGATCAACGGCTCTCAAAAAATATTTATTTTTAAACACAACCTCAGTCATATCAACCACGTTTAGATGTTGATGAAGAGTTCATCAACAGCTAGAAGGTTGTACTTGATTTTTAAAAAAAAATAAACAGTCGCCACATTCGACGACTAAGATAATTTGTTTTTAAAAAAATGATGTGTTTGTCGCCGCACACCTTTATGCGGCGACAGACCCATTATTTTTTAAAAAAATAATGCATCAGACTTGCTATCCTTAAAAAAAAAATCCAAAAAAAAAAAAAACACGGTCGCCGCAAAGGTCTATTTCAGCGACGTTGATATTAGAAACCATACCAAATAACCCCACTTTTGAGACGTTATTTTTGGGGATTATTTTAAAAAATTCACCCTCCAAAGAGGTAAATCTTAACCTTCTAATGCAGAAACAATTTTAATAGGTAAGCAACTGATCTCTTTCATCGGTTTGAACTAAAATGTTTGTCAGCTCAGTTTAAAGTCCTAATGATTTTAGGATTAAGACTGGGAACAATTTAAAGCAAACAATAAACAAGTTAGATGAATCGATTAACAGAACTAATGCCTGGAGGTAATAACCTTTTCCAATCCAAATGCCATCAATTGCTTAATTAGGTCCGTTTGGGCCAGTTTTTCAAATACAATGCTACAGGTAATACACAATAACTCAAAAAACATCTCATCCATACAATATATCAAATATTCCAAAATAAAATTTTAGTAAAAATTTTTCATATACACTGCTACAGTAAAATTTTTCAAAAACACCCCAAAAAACTGCTAATCCAAACGGAGCAACTTAGCATTTATTCCATTGTGAAGAGTAATGGACCACTTGTATTAAGATATTCAGAATCCGAAAATGGTCAATTCTAAATACATGGTCTCATTAACAGATGATCTTAAATGATCCAATATTTGAGTATCTGAAAATTAAATAGACAAAAAATTTCATATCTATCTTCAACATTTTTTTTTTTGGGTAGGTACATACCTATCTTCAACATGCTTTTCCCATTTACGGCTGTCTTTAACTTGCAGGGGGAAGGGTTTGAACAGATGATCTTAAATGAACCAATATTTAGGTATCTAAAAATCAAAGAGGGAGAATAAAAAGACACTCTTATCCATCCTCAGCATACTTTTCCCATTTATGGCTGTCTAAGTTTAACTTGTAAGGGGAAGGGTTTGGTTTTTGCAAGTAGATACAATATTAGGGAGATCACATATGATGAAAACATTCACATTTGCTAAAATGCTAAAATATTTCGTTGGTTATAGTGCTATTTCACTATCCTCACTTTTCTCAAACTGTAACTATGCTGTGTTAGGCAGCTACATTCCCAGTGCCAACAAAACTAAGAAAGCCTTCATCCCATGGTCAGAGATGGTCAGAATCCAATCATTTTCTGAAACAGCCCTAAACTGGGGACACACCATAGAATGTTCAGTTAAAACAGAGCATCTGACAAAGCATTCCAAGAAATACAAAAACATCAGATGTTCATGCTTTAACAACTTAACATGTGTAGGGACAACTATCAATTAGGTAAGATCTACACAATTATAATACACCAAAATGGCTAGTCCAACATCTGCTCTTCGAAGGAAAACAGCTTCATACGGGAAAGCAACTATGAAATGCCAAACTGATGCAACATAGCAAGATATCAGCAAAGATAACAGGTCCTGTATTATCTTAAACTGTTTTCCATGATGTATTTTAGGGGAATTTTAAAGTCTTAGTCAAAGTCGTTTACCTCACTTTTGTATTTTAGCAAATGCTGAAAGAAGTCACTGCTGTGCAGGGAATTTTTGCTAGACCCAATTTCCTAGTCATTTCAAAGGATCCTGGCACCAATAGTGAAGTCCAGCTTGGCTTCCTACAACTTTTGAGCTCTTAGCTTTCTTATTTGTTAAGTTTTGTTCCTTTCTAAGAATTCAAAGCCTCCCAGTCATGGCTCCCACATGAACATGGGTTGTAATAGCTTTAAGGCAGATTGGAATGAACTGATTTTCTCAAGCCCACTTTCTGCACACATTATACACCAAAAAGTTCCAGTCTGCACACAATTCATGGAACCCCTGAGTTAGGCATAGTCTGTACGCTTCCGTGTTCCTAGAATCATAGTTAAGGACTAACATATTGAACATGACAAAAGCAGCTCACTAAGAGAGGGTCTCTAGCCATGCTACCTTAATTGCCACAATATAGCTTTAAAACATCTGGAATCCAAGACTACTTCTTACGGTTTAATTTTATTGTTCCTTTAATATGCATTTGGTATTTTTCTCCCCCAACCAATCCGTTCACTTTGGTTTCAATCAAGATAATAGGAGGGAAGAATTATGGACAGAAAAAGACAGAATAATAGAAATCAATATCTTTTCACTTTCACCAAACATGTCTGTTGCACAATTATTACAAAGGTAATAGTTATGAAACAGCTGCTATGCCAACTTCAAATAGCAAAAGGCATTTAATTGTCATATCTACCAAATGTAAGCATGAAGAGATCGACATTTTTAAGCATTAGCCAGCATAGAAAGCATAATAGCCAAAAAGCAGAGAGGCATGGATGATGATAACAATGGGCAAGGATCTAACTCTCCACAGCTGAACTAAAAGCAACATTTTCAGAAACACAAGGTGGAAGAAGCAATTTGCCTACACTTGGATAACTATCATGGTCCAGATTTTTTTATAAAAAAAAGAAAGAAAAGAAAAAGAGACAGAGAGATAGAAAGATATCACAAGAATTATGGTCTCATTTACCCTCAGCATACCATTTTGCTTTGGATATCACAAGATTGGGCTAAAATTTCTTCCTTGTAAAGAAACCAACAGTACTAAATTTGAACAAAGATGCAACCAATTATTTCTCTGAAAGGAAGTCAAAATGCATTATGTCCATACTACCAGATCAATCTTATATTATATGGTTATTCCAGACTACATTCATGGCCACACAAAAGCAAAAGCAAAACTGCAAAATACCCAGAAAAGACCAATTAAACAGTAGAACCATCTAAGAAACCAAAACTAACCATCTGGTTTGTTGATTCCCATACCAAAAGCCACCTGCAAGAAAGCAAATTTCAACAAAAATATCAACTGAAGCTAATACATAGTAAGTGATAACAATTCATAATAATTTGAGCTACATAAATTAATAAATAGAGAGAACTTGTAACACATACTGTTCCAACAATAACCTGCAACTTGCCATTGCTCCACCTAAGACATCAAATATAGATTTAGAAAAGAAAGACCACAATGATATAATTAATTCAGTATCTCAAATCAGGCACATGAGACCAGCATCGTTAGTTGCATTTGAAAAGACTGACACATGAATAAACATACAGCAATCTTGTATCTCAAAAAAAGTAGCATGACATATGGAACAAGAAAGTGTGTATTGGGAGATAAAATGGCTTAACCACTTCTATACAGTCCATATCTGCATGCAAAACATAGCACAAGAATCGAAAGAGAAATCAGGATAAATCTTAGCAGCACACCACTATATCTTCTCAGGACACGGACCATACCGTAAATGAACTTTCTCACGAGCATGTACATCCATATCAGCATGATAATAGTCAGCTGATATTCCCTTCTCACGCAATTCTTTTGCAACCTACATTTCTTAAGACATAGCAAGATCATAAGGTATGAGGACAATGGTGCAGCAATAATTTCATTACAAAATTTTGGTAACAATTCGAAATATAGATATAGGAGCCACATACTACATATCTGCGCCCAGCTGCACTGAACCTTAGCAAATTTCCTAACAATTATTGAATATCTCATGACAGGATAACATTTGAAACCTGATAGATGACGTACATACATCATCCACAAATGCATATACCAGATCAAAAACTTACACTAATTTGACTTGCGAAAAATCAAAAAGCTAGGCAAGGATTTATAGAAGCCTTGTAAAATTCCATCATCATCTCTCAGCTAACAAAAGAACACTTTCTAGAAGTTGAGATCAAAAGTTGAGAAAGTAATCATCATCACTAAATGACTCAAAATGCAGCTTCCTAGTGAGACGATACAACTACACCACTTGGTCCTACTGGGTTTACACAATGCTGCCTGAGTTGAATTGGTTCTTCCAGGTTAACAACTAATGAGTCCATCATTCTACCCTGCCAATCTGTCACTTAAAGCCAATAAACTCAGTTCGGCCAACAGTAGAGCTTGGTTCAACAAAATTATGCAAAGATCAATCAGATGTATTCTTAGTATGGATAATATTTGCATTACACTTGGACTAAAAGACACCAATTTGATTTCAATTTTGGTGTTTCTGAAGATACAAAAAGTATATGCAAAACAAGGGTAAAATATTTTGAGAAACTGATGGATGATGCAATTTTGAGATATCATATTTCTCTTTTTCAGTTCTTACACTTGTAAGATTGCAAGTGGAAACAAGTAGCAGATGAGTATTCAAGGATACACGACAAGTTTCCTCACCTTCCATAACAGTTATCAAGTAAATAGCATTCAAACAACTTTATACCAGTAGCACACCAAAAAAAGGTATTTAAAGTAAGAGAAAGGTACTTAAACAGGAGCGCAACAAGTACTCACGAAACATGGAAATGTTGAGAGTAATTTAAGCTACAAACCTGTTCACACTCCTTTCTGGAGAAGCAATAAACTATGCCAGACTCATTATTTGGATAAGATGCTTGTATATATGCAGCAATTTCATCAATGACTACCTTCCCAACAGATGATTTTTCTCTTACCTATAAAGTTTGCACTTCCGACTGTAAGATGTACCATAATATGACATAGTTCCGAATAACTTGACAATAATTATACCGTATAAAAAAGATTAGGCCTGTTCACTGTGCTGACAAACTTAACACATTTTGAAACATGTAGCATCTCCATTAGATCTTCTTGCACTTTTTTTGTTGCTGTAGCCTGAAATATAGAAGAACTGGAGCTTAGGCAGATTATATATAGACACATATTTCAAACTTTTAATCAAGAGCATGAATTTATTGTTGTAATATGCAGTAGAGCATACGGTCAGAGCAATAACAGGAACATCTGGAAACTGAGTCTTTAAGATGCCAAGATTCTTGTAGTCTGGACGAAAATCATGGCCCCATTGACTACAACAATGTGCTTCCTGCATAAGGCCTCAAATCATAAATCACAGATATCAACAACATTATCAAGGTGCTTTTTTGTAAAGATCACAGCAATCAAGCCTGGGCATGATCTATAAAGAAGCAACTCTAAGGCCGTATAGAAAGAAAACCACTATAAGAGTTGCACGACAAAAAATCAGTATGAGAGTTACAGATAAGAACCAATTTTATCATATCTTGCCTCAAATTCAATCATTGCTAAGCATTCTCCCAGGCAATATTGTTTTAGAAGAAACTTTTTTCATCTTTTATAAAAAAATTCATTCATTATCAAGAAAACCAATGCAATTTAAAGTATAAACAAGAATATGTAGGACAAGCTACATAAGGACCACTTGCCTATCCTTCTATAACCTGTTAATGAAGAATTCGACTATCGTCAACACCAAGAGGAATACAGGGGCTTTGTTTGGATTGGGCTTTATTTCTCAAAATTTATTTGCTTACATCATCATTACAATTTCCAATACACCTTTTTACCTTCCCAATTACCTTTTTATCTCACATACATCACATCACAAAAAGTGCTACAGTAAAAATATCTCTAATAATTCACAATCCAAACAGACCCCTGGATGAATAAGTTAGCATGTTTTGCCTGTTCCCCTTTTTTTTGGTTCCTTTTAATTGTTGATTATGTTTGTTGCACCTTCAAAAGAGTTAAGATTCATATTCACTTTTCCCGAAGTAGAATACCACGCAAAATTCATATTGTCTTCCCTGTTCCTCAATTTCACCTTCCAAATAAGTTCTTGTAAATTGCTTCGATGGACCTCATCCCTCTCTAATTTGATAAATTTGTTTCATTGGAAAATTACTGAAGAACAGTATCTAAAAGCTAACTAAAATTCAACATTCCTAGAAGATTTATCATCCTAATAATTTTGTTGTTTTCATATTCCTTCCCATTTGTTATCCTCTAATACGCAAATTTCATGTTACTGGGCACTACATGTGAAGTATCAAATGGTAAGAAGAAACGACACTGCCGATATGACACTGGATCAGGTAGCATAATTTCAAATTTTTTTCTTAGATGAGAAAAGCATGCAGGGAGAAAATTGTATGTATTGTCACAGCATACAAAAATATATTTTACCAAATATCGAGTAATCTGATTTCAAAAACCATTATCAAACCATTTTACCAAGCATTAGAGATTAACTATGAAGCAGATGACTGTTATGTAGATATCCAATATCCTGTCTAGAATGGTTCAAAAGATTTTTTTGGATTTATACAAACTTTGAACACCACTATTCCTGGATTAGAGCAGACACACAGTCATTAGCCAGTCCCAACGGTTATTGATTGCTATAAGTTCACTAAGCTCAAAATAGCCCTCTTAGATCACCAAGCTAAATCTTCCTGCACCCTCTGCCCTGAGTTGCAGAAATAAACAATAAAGATATTCCAAACATATCAATGAAGAAGTAGTTAAGACTTTGATCATGAGATTACATCAATAGAAATTAGAGACAGCCGACCAGCATGATGACACTTTTCAAGTTTTGACATGAATCTTTTGCTCTTCGATATCTTCTCTGGTGTAACATATAGTATTTTAAGCTCTCCATCACCCTTTTCAAGAGCCTTGTATATGAACTTTTCATCTTCCTTACCGGTGGTTGACGTCAACATGAATGCTGGGATGCCCAAAGCAGCCAAGCCCATTACCTAAAGCTTTGATTACTATCAGGAAGGCACCATAAACTGGTTGAAGCAACCCAAGATATGTAAAAATAGTTTAACTCCGCTAGTGGCAGTAATATAAGAACCTGATCTTGAATAAGAGAAAGCAAAGGGCTGACAACCAGAGCAACCCCATTTTTAAGAACAGCAGGAAGTTGATAACAAAGACTCTTGCCTCCGCCAGCCGCCATAATCACAAGAACATCTCTTCCAGTCATGACTGCATTTATTATCTGATATCAAGTAGCGGTATAAGAGCTAAACTAAAATAAATAAAGAACCAAACAAATGAACAACTCAGTTACATTCACTTCAATTAATTAAAAGAAAACAAACCAACAGGATGCTAAGAAAGATACCACACCTGATAGCAACAAAGACAACTCAAACACCAGATGCAATACTAAGCCATCCTAACAAAACTAATGAACGACACCAATTCACGATGCATAAAGTAAAGACGAGGAACTTTTAATTCCTGATGATATGCTGCTGTATTATATTCCAATAAGACGCTGCTGGTAAAATGTACGTCAGCTGTAAAAATCTTCACAAACCAAATACTAAACAGAAATAATAATATTCTTTAGATGGCATTGCAACATGGAATAGCCAATCAGGTAAATTAACGTACAAGAAAACAGGTGTCTACATCATCCAATGCCTACAGCATAACAACCTATGAAACATGCAAATGAAACTTATTCATATAAAGCTATTAGGGACATTTGATAACCGTCAATGAGTGAGAAATACACAAGAACCTGAAAATCATCTTGGAATTTTTTGCAGAATAGAGCCAAATGCAAACAAAAAATATTCACGTAGAAAGCAGTGATAGTGGATGAGACTAAACAAGTTCAATGCACCAAAATAATGGAACTGAGGCTACAAGTTGAATAACCGGAAGCCGACTAAAACCAAAACATTACCAACAAAATTTGCGAAAACCAGCCTTTCATAAAACACTCGAGACATGAGATGGCCCGAAAACATACGCTCTAGAAGAAAAGTAAAAAGTGTGAAAGATCACAGCTCCAGAAACCTTTCTACTAAAAGGGTTGATTATGACAATATGCTATTGGTAAAGATGCATAATCAGGTCCTAAATTAAATTACTCTACCATCCTAGACCATGATGAAGGAGAAGATTAAGAAATTTCTCAAACTTTGAGGTTGAGTACATTTCCAATGCCAAAAGAGAAAACAAACTTGGCTAGTCTAAGTCTGTTAAGCTTCAATTCCTTCCATTTGACTTCACCTTTTATAGGAGTGACTGACAAACCAAGTTTTTTTTATTTCTTGAGTAGTCTCAGGATAAGTTTTGGCGTGCATATTTTCGATGTTTCAAACATGGCTAGCTTGATGCAGATTGTGCCAGGATGTGGAACCAAAAAAAAAGGGAATGTAAAATGCTAACTACCATGCAACACAGTACACTAGCAATAGGCTTCTGTGAATACTTGGAACGCTCAAAATTCATTCAGTGAGAAGGTAATAAGTTAGTTTGGTATCTTTTTTGTTATTTTTATCTTATGCAATTATATAAAGGAGATCTTCAAATAAAAATGTGAAAAACGCTCTCTTGTAAAGGCGTATTTACCTACTTGAAGCTTTTTCTGGTAACTATAATGAAAAAAATACAATCATACATGCTTATGCATTAGCAATTTACTACTCCCAAGTTTTCAGAGGCTTAAAAAGCTTCCTAAAAGAATAAAAAATCAACCTTCCAGTAATTTTCTCCTCGTTATTCTCCAGGCTCCTTCTTATTCTTGTTTGAAATCTGTGCCATATCATTCAAGTTTTGAGTTTTACAGGGAAAATTGGAAAAATTCATATGACTATCACTATTGACCATTAACAGACCATTCCAAACGTCGATCCTTCAAAAAACGACAAAGCATAGACACTCCAAATTCATGCCTTTCTTATTGATTAGGCTTTAAGCGCGCTCTTTATATCAAGGGAAATACAGAGGAAAGAAATGGCTGCGGAAATACCAACCTCTCGCTGATTTGCACGATAGGTAGGAATTCCGAAAACATTGAACCTAATATCATCAGCTTGAGAGTCCCATTCAAATGTCCCTGACCAATTCTCAGTGCAATCGGACGATCCGTCAATCTTCCCAGGGCTTCTTCTTGATGATGATTCACAGCTTTCCAACAACGCTTTCAGTTCAGATTGCCTTTGATATAACTCATCCTGTCGGTCTAGCAATTCCTTCAACTGCTCTGGATTCAAAAAAACGAAAAATTACTACAAAACAAAATTTCAATTCAATAAATAAGAAATTGGTAGTACGAAAAATGGCGGAAATAGATGATAATCGGAGTGAAACCTTGCACATCGTGAAGTTCGACCTCGACATTGAGAAGCTCCTGTAGGATTTCTTCTGAACTTCCCATGGCGTCGGAAGCACAAATGTATCTTTTTGTCTTTCGGACAAATTTATAATTTCTGAAATTATCAAAAGAGTTTATTGCGTTATTTAGGCGCGGGGAAGTATAACGCTGTAGAGTTCAACACTTCAACGTTCATCACGTGGCGCTTGTTCTGGGTTAATTATCAGGTTGGCCCTTGGGATCTTATTCAATATCAACTTGTACCAAAACCTAAAAGCATCCCAAGTAAATCAAAAACCTTTCGTCAAAGCACACCAATGCATGCTCCCAATCAAAAACTAGGGCTCCATTTTGGATTCAAAAATTTTTTAAAAACTAGTTTTTCAAATACTATTTCCGTTTGGATTCCTTGTTTTTGCTTCTATTTTTTAAAAATAGTTTTTCACATTCCAAATGCTACAGTAAATGTGTATTTCCAAAACAACTCAAAAAATATCATATCCAAACATTATATCAAAAACAACTCCATATGTATATTTCAATTTGTATATTTTAATTATGTATATTATATTAACATAAATTGAAATATATAAATTGAAAATTATATATTTATATATTATATATTATATAAATATTTATATACATTAATATTATACATAATATTGTATATAATACATAATATAATATACATAATATGTAATATTGTATACATAAATGTATAAATATGTATACATAATATATTATGTACATTATATTATAATATATACATTATTAATGTATAATATTATTATGTACATTATTGTGCATAATAATGTATAATAATGTTATGTATAATACATAATATACATAATATGTAATAATGTATATTATGTATAATATATTATATTATGTATATTATATTATATATATATACAATATTATGTATATTATACAAATTGAAAATTATATATTATATATTTATATATTATATATTATATAAATATTTATATAATGAAATATACAGTAAATATTACAAATTGAAATATTATATAAACACCATATTTATAATATTATAATAATTATAATTAATATTAATGTATATTATATATATTAAATATTTATTTATTTATACATATTATAAATATTTTATTTTATTTAAAAAATATTTTTATGTATTTATAATATATTTATATAAATATTTTATATAATATACTATATATTAAATATATTATATATTATACATTTATACATAATATATATATTAATGTATATTTATAATACACATTTATATTATGTATTATATATAATATTATACATTTATACATTCATATTAATATACATAATATTAATTTTACATTTATACATAATATTAATACATTTATACATATATATTAATTATATGAATACACTTATACATAATATTAATATATATTTATAATATATTAATTTATACATTTATATAATATTCATTTATAATTTATACATTTATAATAATATACACTTATACATTTATAATAATATACATTTATACATTAATAAATATATTTATATTATGTATTATATATAATATAATAAATTTATATATTTTTTTATAAATATATAAATATATTTATTTATAAATATTTATCAATGTATTATAAATGCATAAATGTATATAAATATAAAAATATAAAAATTATAAATTATAAAAATACTCAAAAATATGTTTTAAAAATACCTCTAAAAATAATTCAAAAAACATCTACAGTAAAAGTTTTCATATAATTTTTGAAAAATAACCCCAAAAACAACTAATCCAAACGGACTTGTATTTCAAAAACGAAATGCTACAGTGCTGTTTTTGAAAAACAACCCCTAAAATTTTTTTAATATTTATAAAATATTTCAAAATATATTCTAAAAACTCTTCTACTCTTAAATATTTCAAAATATTTTCTAAAATATACTATAAAAACTCTACTACAGTAAAATTTTTCAAAAACAGTTAATCCAAACGGATGTTTTTCCTAATGTTTTTAAGGTGTTTTTGGGATATTTTTAAAGTTTAAATTTTTTTTTGATATTTTTAAAAATTACCACCACTATCGCCACCACCCCCTCCCTCTTCTCCGTCCTTCCCCTCCTTCTTCCTCCTCTATCTCTTTTCACTTCCCATCTTCCTCCTCCCTTTCTTCCTCCCCCCCTCTCTTCCCCTTCATCTCCCTTCCCTACCATGCCTCACCCCTCCCCTTCCCCCCTCCAACCTAACCTTTTGATCATGACATCACAGCCATATTGCAATCCTTCTAGTTGCAATCTAGCCGTAGCCAGATCACAACCTGTGGTTGAGGCCAAATTTGGGAGGCAAGAGGACATGTGGGATGTGGCGGAAAAGATGAGGGGAAGGGAGGAGGGAGGGAGAGGAAAAGGAGAAAGGAGGGGATGGTGGCAGTGGTGTATAGGGGTGGGTGGTAGTGAGTAGTGGTGACAGCTAGAAGAAAAAAAGGTGTAGATTTTATTTATTTTTTGTATATTGAGAGTTATTTTTTATATATTGTATAAATGTAATATTTTTGGAGTTATTTTGTATTGTCTATTACTGTAGAATTGTGTATAAAAACTTGTTTTTCAAAAAGGGATAATTTCAGAAACCTTCCCTAAGGTTTCTCATAATATCACTCAGCTCCTTTGAGGTTTTTAAAATCTTATTTACCTCTTTTGGATTGACATTTATTGTAACATTTTAGCCCCTTTGGAGGAAATGCAAGAAAGATAAAACTTTTATTCTAGTACTATGCTTATGTTATCCTCCTTATATAAAGTTTACAACAACAATAAAAAATAAAATAAGATTAACTTTTTATAAGGTGTAAATTTCTTGATTTAAACTATTTGTTTTAGTTATTTTGGAACAAATCAAAACTTACACCTTGAAGAATTCACACATATTAAGAGATTATTATTTTTAATACAACTTAAACTACATCATGTATTAAAATATATTTCCTAAAAAATTTTGTTGACTTTATTCTAAAATAATTTATTGACTTTCGCATAACTGTCTACGAAAATTTTCAAGGTATTAATTACTCACCAAATTCCTCCTAAATGGTTGATTTTAACTAGATTTAATTTATCCATGTTCTTTGTTATCCCACAATGATCTTGATATAGAGAAATATAGACTATTATTAGATAACAATTTATTTTTTATTTTAATCTATATTTTTTGTTTAAAATTTTTATTTTGTTTTGACATTTTGGTTAAATACTTATTAAGAGCAAGGGTAATATTGTCAATTTGTGACATTTGATAAGAATATTTAGTCTTGTCAAGCTGATAGGAGAGATTAGTGAGATTTTAAAAATCTCAGGGGAGCTAAGTCATATTATGAGAAACCTCCAAGGAGCTTTCTGAAATTATCCCTTTCAAAAAATGAGGAATTCCCCTATTATGTAACCTTCTATTTTGGCAAGACATCCTTATACTATATCAAAAAGAATTTTAGTTGAACTCATCTTTAAATTTCGACTATCTATTTTAGAAACATTTTGAATATTCCAGGCATCTTATGTTGGATGAGTTAGAACTTTGGATATAGCTTATTGGAGCAGGTTTGCTATTGGATTTACATTATTGCCCTTCTGTTGGATTTACGTTGGAGATTTGCATATGAGAGTGTTTAAATGGTTATTATTTCGTGGAATTATGCAACTAACAATTACTATTGTTTTCCCTATGGGCCTGTTTGGAACCTGAGTTTTTTGGGAGTTTGTCTAAAACTTTATTGTAGTGCACTGTAGAAGTTTTTAAAAAAATTTTGTAGAAGTTTTTGTAAGGTGAAAAATTTTGTAGAAGCTTTTGTAAGGTGAAAAACTTCTTTTTTCTTTTTTTTTTCTTTTCTATTTTTTTTCTCTACCCTTTCCCTTTCTTTTTCTTTTTCTTTTCTTTCTTTCCTCTTTCTTTTCTTTCTTCTCTTTTTCTTTTTTTTTTCTTTCCTCTTTCTTTTCTTTCTTCTCTTTTTCTTCTTCTTCTTCTTCTTCTTCTTCTTCCCCGTTACCTCCGCCACCCCTAGCAGCCTGCCAGCAACCGCCACCCGTCTCCTCCCTTTCCCCTTCTCCTCCCCTCCCCCCCCCCCCCCCTTATTGCCCGCCTTCCCCCTCCCCCGCAGCCCCCCTCTGCCCCTTCCCCCTCCCCCCGCCTTCCGCCTTCCCCCTGTCCCTGCCCCCCTCTGCCCCTGCCCTTGCCCCCTCCCCCGCCGCCCTTCCCTCTCCCCCGCCGCCCCTCTGCCCCTTCCCACTCCCCCGCCTTCCCCCTCCCCTCCCTGCCCCCCCTCTACCCCTTCCTGCTCCCCCCGTCGCCACCCTCTGCCCCTTCCCCCTCCCCGGCCTTTCGCCTTCCCCTGCCCCCCTCTGCCCCTGCCCCCTCCCCCGCCCCTTCCCTCTCCCCGCCGCCCCCTCTGCCCTTCCCACTCCACCCGCCTTCCCCCTCCCCCTGCCGCCCCTTCTGCCCCTTCCTGCTCCCCCGGCCGCCCCCTCTGCCCCGCCACCCCCGCCTTCCCTGTCCCTTCCCACTTCTCACCCCTCTTTCTTTTCTTTCTTTTTTTTTCCCACACAGAGGTGGGAATGGTGCCGGACGTAGAGAGAAAAAAAAAAAAAAGACAAGAGAGGATGATGGCAGGGGAGGAAGGGGGGGAGAGGGAAAACAGGGGGAAAAAAAGAAGACCAGCACCGGCACCGGGAATTGACGCGGGAACCGGCGACGGAGCCGGCAATGGAGGTGGTGGTGGGAGAGGAAAAAGAAGAAAAGGGGATGAGAATTTTTTTTTTTTTTTTGTGTTTTGGATATTTTAAGTGTGTAGGTTAAAAACTTTGGTGAGTTTTTGTGGGTTCCTGTAGCGCAAGTTGTTAAAAAACTAGGGTCCGTTTGGATTCTTGTTTTTGGGCCTGTTTTTGAAAAACTGTTTTTCACAATCCAAATGCTACAGTAAATGTGTATTTCAAAAACAACTCCAAAAACACCAATATCCAAACAATATATCAAAAACAACTCCAAATACATATTTAATATGTTTATTTCAACTTATATATTTCAATTATGTATAGGATATATATATTATATTAATTTAAATATATTTATTTACACATATTATAAATATTTTACTTTATATAAAATATATTTTTATATATTTATATAAATATTATATATTATATAAATTATATATATTATAAATATGTTATTATACATTTATATAAATGT